CCCACCCACTCGACACGCACGTGCCACCCTATGATGGTCAGAAAAATCGCTGTCGACACCGGTTGCAGATATACGAGAATGACAGCCAGACATAGGCACGACACCCAGAGGCTAGTCAGAGAGCTCGACGTCGAGCGCCCACTGATCTAAGACATGCTGTTCGTACAGCAGCTCGTCGTCTTCCCCTGTCTGACTGTCTGGCAAGAATGGGTTGAGGGCAAGCCACTCAGTGCGTGTTGCCTGTGCTGACAGAAGAAAGTCGGCCGCTGCAGAAAGCACCGGCAGTTTGTCCGATGGGGGGGGAGGGAGGAAGTCGAAGACCGAACCCTGGACCCTCAAACCCTAGCGCAGAGGTGGGGAGATGGCTCAAGGGCAGACAAAGCAGCGCAAGGGCGACAAGGCCTCCTCATCCAAACGGAAGAACGCGCCCATAAAGAGCATCGGCAAGAAAGCCACGCCAAAGCCGTCCGGCAAGCTCAGAAAGGTAAGTGCGGACGAGCAGGATGGCAGGCACCAACACCCATCCACTGCTGTCATGTGTGTGGGTCATGTGTGCGACTGTCTGCAGGGCAAGAAGGTGGTCGGGACAAAACAGATCGAGAGCAAGATTGCTGGTCTTGCTGGCACGGCACACGACGCCCTCAAGTTTGTGAAGACGGGCACGCCACAGAAGCAGAAGCAGAAGAAGGCCAAGGGGAAGAAGTAGAGAGTTGTGAGGAGATGTTTGAGTCTTTCTGTCTAGCGGTCTGTCTGTCTGTCTGAGTGGTACTTGTACAGCTGATGACTTGCGCGTCTGACTGTTCGCTCAGTCGTCTCTGAGAGCTGTAGTGTACAGTCCCACACAACACGATTGCAATCGCATAATGGGGGTTCCATCCAGTCTACCTGCACACACAAGGGCTGCACGCCACCATTCATCGCCATCTCACCGACACACACACACATCACATAACAACAGCCAGCCGACATGTGCCCACCCCGTGCAAGACAGAAAAAGAGCTTCAGCACGCAATCAATACAGACGAGCGACAAACGGGCCAGTAAGCTCAGCCGCTCTGTTGCCTCACGTCGGTGCTCTCGAATATCTTGTCAGCCGACGCCGCGATGAACCCGCTGTACAGCTCACCACTCGCCGTCGGATACCGCCTGGCGAACTCATAGTAGCACGACGGTATCTCGTAGGTGCCCTCAGCAAAGGCCACATTCTTCTTCTCAGCGAGTGTTGACGACTGCTGGAGCAGCTCGGCCGGCGTCCCCTTGATGAGCCCCCCGGAGGCGTTGAGGGCGAAGCCCTTGTCCTGCAGGAATGTGTTGAGGGCCTGGAGGGAGTCGAAGGTCGAGAGGGCGTTGACATTGACGGTGAAGTGGTTGGCGCAGTAGCCGTAGACATACAGCCAGGCCGCGTACTCGGACTCAGCCAGCAGCCGATTGTAGGCGGCGTAGTGCAGAGGCGCCCAATGGTGGCTCCCACACGTCAGCAGCTCCTCTGTGCCGAGAAGCGACGGGGGCAGGGCGTCCACACACTTGCGCATCGTCTGCTGCAGGTCGCTAGAGAACTCCTCCATCAGCAGCTGAATGCAGGCAGACACAAAGAGATAAGCTGTCACTCCCACGAATGGCTGCAGCGCCGCACCTCTGATATGAAGACCTTCGGCGCTTTGTCTTCTTCGGCATGCTCGAAGTGCTTTGCGTAGAGTTTCTTCACTGGGAATGTGTAAGTGCCCTTCTCAACGTACCCCATCCTGACGAACGGCCTTGCAAGCACATCGATGGACACGCGCGGGTCGTTGAGTGTGCGGAAGGCCACGTGGTCGTTGAGCACGACATTCTCGCCGCGCTGCCGCAGCAGCTGGTGGATCTCACCGGCCTGCAGGCACAGACAACCAAGAGGGAGAGGAAGGAGTAAGGAGATGGCATGCATCGTGTTCAAGATCTGTGACCTTTGGGGTGAGGAGAAGATACTGATCCCACAGGCGAGAGAAGACCTTCGCCATCGGAATTCCCCCTCTCGGTGCGAGCCAAGACGCCCCCCCGCCCCCAGGCTCAGGAAAAGTGTGATTTGCTGAGTGGTTTGACGCACTCTGACAGGCAGGTGCATATGGTGACTGGCTACGGTGGAGAGGACCAGCACGGACCATCAATGGAGGGCAGCAGCAGCACCAGTCCGGCTGCCATTCGTGCAGAGAACGAGCGACTGCGTCAGGAGCTGGCCATGTGGCAGCAGCAGGCCTCGATCAACCAGCAGAGCAAGGTGACCGACCCAGGGCCTCACTCACCCCTCATTCATCGACAGCAATGAAGATAATCATTCGGGAACGGCCTGGCCTGTCTGTCATGTGTGTGCATCGCGTGTGTGTAGGCGGAGATGAAGGAGCTGCGCGACCGGCTGGACAAGGAGCGGCACATTGCAAGCGTGCAGAAGTCTGCCTTGTTTGAGAAGCAGAGGGAGGTGGACGTGCTCAAGAACAAGATGATCAGGCTGCAGAGGGAAATGACCGGCGAGAAGGGCGCAATGGCCAAAGTCACAACAGAGAACATGCTGCTGGTACACATGTGTACAACCAATACACAAGTTCCACGTCATCTTCTCTCTCCTTGCCTTGCGCCGCGCCCAGGAGAAGAAGCTCCTCGAAGCGGCCGGGAGCAAGCTGGCGGCCGAGATGCTCCGTGCCGTCAAGCAAAGTGCGGCTGCCGGCCCTCCTCCCACATCATCGACAGAGAAGGAGAGGTCTCCCGGCGGCAAGAAGGCGACGATGGCTGCAGAGGGGGGTGCGGGTGGCGGGAGTGGGGTGGTGAGGACCTTCGAGGAGTTTCTGCGGCGGAAGGACTTGTCGAGGGTGTCGTTGGCTGAGGGCGGGGTGGACGACTACTGCGTGTCGGTGCTCTGCAATCTGTTCAAGCAGTGAGCGCTGTGGGCCGGGCTGTGGGGATGGGGATGTTTTCGTGGCGTCTCTGTAGGTGTAAGACGCTGTCCGTGATCGATCTGTCCCGCAATGCCCTCACCAACACTGCTGCCAAAGGTATGTATGCGATGCACACGAGGGAGGGGAGATTCGTACGGGAATCCACCAACGAGGGCCTGGTGATCATATCAATGGATGTAGACCTCGCCCCCTTGTTGAGCTCTCTGCCCACCCTTTCCTACCTCTCCCTCGCCGCCAACAACATGTCTCCAGGAGCAGTCGGACCAATCGCCGTCGCACTCATGGAGGTAACACAGAGAGAGAGAGAGAGACATCGAACCATCCCGACCATTCAACCTCCTTCCCTCCCCTGGCTGTCTCGCTGGCTGTGTCTGCAGCGTCTGTCGTCCAAAGGTCAGAAGATGGCTGTCATCGAGATGATCGACATGCAGGGCCAGCGGCACCCCTCATGGCGGGGCAGCATCAGTGCCTCGGAGAAACAGAGAGAGGGCAGTGGTGAGGAGGCGGAGATCAGGGGGGCGGTGGGGGGGCTGCTCGATGCTGTGGGCAAGGAGGTGTGGGCCCACGTCGTCATGATGTGCAAAGTAAGATCGGGCTAGATGATGGGCAGAGAGGATGGCATGGCGAGATGTCGTGGTTGGGAGGGTTCAGGTGAGCAAGAACCTGTCATCGATGAGCATGTCGTCGAAGCTCGATCCCAAGAGAGTGGAGTTCCAACACATCAACCATGACGAACTCACCGTAAGACAGACACCCATTGGCCGACCAGCCCACCCATTACACACCGCCCCTTTGTCTGTCGTCCATCAGGCCCTCCGTGAGGCGATGAGCAAGATCGTGCTTGCCGAGCTGCCCACGTCTGCTCCCGCAGACACAGAGGATGAGTCAGAGGGACCCCCATGCAGAGTGGTCACAGCCGACTGGGCCTGCCGCACCGACGCCGCTGCTGCCGGTGGTGCCACCGAGGGCAGGCTGCCTGAGATACAGCCAAAGTATTGAAGAGGGAAGAAGAGCAGACCAGGAGATGTGATGTGTGTGCGTGGCATGGGTGTGTCGTGTGCTGCCCATTAGGGTGGGGGCGGAAGCCCAGCCACAGAGGCCTCAGAAGGCGTCAGACGCACAGGTGAGAGACGTCGGATGGATAGGGTATCCATTGATGGCCCTGGTGGGTTCTGTGTGCAGGGTTACGGGACCACAGTGAGTCCGGCTCCCCAGGGCACGACAATGCAGCGCATGGCTCCCGGCACAAAGGAGAAGGCAAAGACATTCAGAATAAGGCAAATCGTCAACAAAGCCGGACATGTAGGCCAACAAAGAAGACAACAACGCACTCCACACACGCAGACGAGCGGAAACCTCCTCTCCACGCAGGTGAATCTTGCAGCTCTCGACAAGTCCATGGAGACTACTTCCATCGAGGCCCGCGACGTCGACACAGGCGAAACACTCCTCGAGTCCGCTTGCCGCACGGGCAACCTCGCCCTCGCCAAGCTGTGCTACCGTCGAGGCGCAGCACTGCAGCCCAGAGCCCCTTCTGTCAACGCGCCCTTCACTGTGGCGGCCAAATACAGGTTGGCGGGGTGAGACGTGATGTGACGGTGGGGTGGCATTGTGTGTTGCACGTTGCAGGCACTATTCAATAATGGAGTTTCTGCATCACTATGGCGTCAAGGTGAACGCGCAGGACGGCGAAGGCAAGACGGCCCTACACGTGGCCACTTCCAACAACGACCTCGACGCCATCTGCAGGTCGGGGCGGGGAGTGGAGGGAGGGACAAGAGACACATACGATGGTAATGGTGCTTGGCGCAGGTTGATGGAGTGGGGGGCAGAGGTGAACGTGCGAGACAAGAGGAAGCGCACCCCTCTCCACTTCGCTGCCATTGCCGGCCATCCAGAGGTGTGCCGATCCATATCCCCCTCTCTCTTCTCTTTGTATTGTATTGGTGTCCCGCGCCTGTGTAAATGGATGCAGGCGGCACTGCTGCTGCTGGAGCTCGGTGCAGATCTGAACGCCAAGGACGAGAAGGAGTGCACTGCCGTGGCGCACGCAGAGGCACACGACCACTTCGCACTCATGGACAGGCACGTCTCTGTCAACACACACAATCATGCAGGCATCCGATTCCTACCCACCGATATCCAATTTGACTGCAGATTGATCCAGCTGGGCGGCAAGGACCTGCGGCCCTACGCCCCAGGTGCCCCCCAGCACCAGCAGGGGATGTCTCACTCCCCTTCCCGCCCAGCTCTGGCCACAGCCACTACCAGCCAGAACCTGTCAGCCGGCCCGACGTCCAGCATGGGCAGTGCACCGCGTGTTGCCGAGCCCCTAGTGCTCAAGACGCTCGTGCCGGACAGGAGAAAGGGGGGGCAGCTGGGATCTTCTGCTTCCATGCCCAAACTGCTGCATAGACTGAGAATGTAATGTGAGCTTGTGTCGAGGGAGGGGAGGGGGATCTGGTGGCATTTGGTGAGTGCATTGTGGCGTGGAAGTGAGGCCATTGTACATATTCGTTTGCGGTGGGAACTTCGGATCTGCTGCGAAGTGTTGTCAACGGAAAGTCTCGAAAGAAAGATTTTGGGGGCAGCGGCTTTCCCTTCTGCCCACACTCACTGCGACACTGTCAGCCTCTCATTCTGCCCCTGCCATGGTCTCCCGGAGCGTGAAAGTCTCGCTGGCTGTGTTCTCGTGCCTCGCTGCCATGTTGCTGTCGGGTCAGTAGTCGTCCGTTCCTTCCTATGCCGTCCATGACCTTCGCTTATTCTGCATGTGTCTGTGCTGTCGGAAATAGGCATGATCTATGGGTGGGCGCCGATTCAACTGTTCCTCATCCAGGTGAGTCCATCGAAGCAATGCCCAGAGAAGAGAAAGCGGCCCATCCGAGTTCCATCCTGTGGCTGGCATTCAGGAACATCAGTACGAGGAGCTATGCGACCAGCACGAGAAGGCCCCCTGCCCTGCCCAGCTTCGGAAGCTCTCCAACATGTTGAGCCTTCACATTGCACTTTCAGACCACAAGCCCCACGCGCGTCTGCTCTCCTCAATTGTGTGCAGCTACACGGTCGGGTCGTTCGTTATCATCCTGATGGCGCTGCCTGGTGGGTTCTTCCTGGACCAAGTGGGCCCACAGGCGACCGTGGCGCTTTCTGCCATTCTGAATGTCATCGGCTTGGTGCTCTTCGGAGGTGAATTCATGGGCCTCGTTAAGGCTGGATATGGGCACAAGTGCATTTCTTGTCTTTGGTCGCTGTTTGTTTCCTGCACGCAGCCTCTGATTCCAAGACCTTTGACTACTTCGCCTTCTCGTACGCAGTTATGGCGGCTGCGGGCGCCTTGGCGATGTTTGCAGGATTCCCTGTGTCGTTTGTCCTGCCGGAGTATCAAACCCTCATTCTGAGTGGCGTCTCGTGCTGTTTTGACGGTGAGTGGCGCAGCAGCCATCCAGCCGATTCCTTGCTATGATATCCCTGTTCTGTCCATGGATGGCAGCGTCGTGCATTATCTTTCAGATCTTCTACACGCTGAATCAGTGGACGGGCGTCTCCCGAAAGGGCCTCTTCTGGGGCTACTCCGTGGTGGCCATCCTCGTCATGGGCCCTATCTTCTACTTCTGGTCACTCATCAAGGCCGAGGAACGAAGGCAGGCCGAGATGGAGGGCGGCAAGGACATCTACGTCAGCATGTCCGATGAGTCTACCCACATCGCCTCATCCGAGCTGGAACCTTCAGATATGCCCTTGGCCATGCCAGGTGCATCCGAAGTGATAGCCACGGGGCAGGGGCGGACGGCGGGCGAGGACACCGCCCCAGAGAAAGATGAGGAGGACCTGACCCACCTGAAGCTTAGCCGGCAGATGCAGTCGTTAGCCTTTGCGACCAACCTCGGCTTCACCATTGTCGGCATCCTCCGGGCCACCTTGTATATCGGTATCAACGGCATATTGCTGGGACTCTATGGCGACGCTGACACGGGATACGCTTACAACAACACCTTCGGCGGTCAGAAATCTCATTCATACTCTTTCTCAAATCAGCTCTTCTTTCTCTCGTGTATCACTTCCTCAGTCATCCTGCCTCTGGGGGTGCTGCTCGCCCCCATGATCTCCCGGACTGTGGACGCTGTGGGGATGTTGAACACCATGCAGGTACGTTGGATGCTCATTCGCACGCACATCGATGCAAGCAGAGCAGAGCAGGTGAGTGCATGTCTCTGTGTCTCTGGCAGGCCACGAATCTGTTCTCTGTGGCGAACTTCGCTCTCGCGATGATACCCAATCTGCAGGCAGGCTCGGAGACGGAAACGCGACCACGTTTCTGGCGGGTCTGTTGCCTACAGGTCCAGGTCGTGAACTTCATCATCTTCGCCATGTTCCGCGCGTACCTCTACTCATGCATCGCAGCTTTCAACGCAAAGGTATTTCGCTTTCTTTCCCACCTGTGTGTGGATCGCATAGATGGGTGTATGCAGACGTTTGGCGTCGAGACGATGGGTCGATTCATGGGTATGTGCAACAGCATCGGTGCGTTCGGGATTCTCCTGCAGCCCTTTATCATCGACGCCATCTTTGGCGTCTTCCACGGACGCCCAACCGTTATGTGCATCATATTTATTCTCATTGGACTCGCACTTACGGCCGCCATCGAACTATACCGCAGGCACATCAGACGGTGGCCAGCTGCACCACAGAGAGAGAGAGAGAGGGAGAGACACACCTATGTGTCTGTGTTTCTGTGTTGTGTGTGGTGTTCATCAGTTCGTATGGCGCCATGCTGGGTGACACCCTCACGAGTGTGTCGTCCGTCGGCCTGAGGGAGTCTGTTGCCAGCCGCGAGTCGCGAAGAAGCTCCAAGGGCATTGTCTTCTCCGGTACATTGTATGCGACACACGCGCACGACGGCATAAGAGGGCCGGCCACTTGAGTGCACGTGTGGACTGTGCAGGTCGGTTCCCAAGCAGCTTCCGCACTCAGTCGTTCGACGACACCTTCGGCCCGCCCCCCACAGTGCGCACCAGGGCGGACTGAATGACTTCATTGTTTGTATGCTGCTGCATGGGTGGATGCGCGCAGACAGCCAGAGGGAAAGGGGGGAGGGGGGGAGGTCAGGTGGGCTGCCAAACGAAGCTGTTAGTCTTCTTACATGGTGGGTGGATGGATGGATGGATGGATGGGACAACCTTCAGCTGAGAGACATGGCGTCAAGGAGACAGAGAGACACGCACTTGTACATTTCTGGTAGTGAGATGCGCACGGTGGGAGGAGAGGTGGATGCGTGATGGGGGGGGGGGGG